GACAGACTTTGCCGCACAACTGGAACCTTGGTCAATCCCAGATAGAAAAAAATTACAGTTGAGGGAAGGATGTCTACAACTCAAAAAATCGTTTACTTATGTTGTTCAACGCCATTTTTATTCTTGCACTAGGAGTGGGGACAGTGGGTCGCACAGGAAGTCGAGAGGACTTGAAGAGAATCGTGAGGAACGTGAGCCTGTAGAGACACGAGAGAACGAGGGCCAGGACGTCATGGTAAGCCATATGCAGTAACAATATAAGGAACGCCAGGCGTAATAAGGGTTGAAAACGATGTGAGAAGACGGAGCAATGCGATCGGATTCGGGGATCTACGCAACGGTAGTCATGAAATGATCAGTTTAGAAGTCGGAGTTGTGAAGGAATACAGAACGAAATAGAGCTATGACATGAAATATCGGGGGAGAAAAGGTGGAATCTCGGTGTTCACCGCCCACTGGTGAGATCTGGTGCCGACATACACGTCGGCTAGCAGTATTTTCACCTACCAGGTACCTCCCACCAGCGGGGCACTGCCCTAGTCGGGGCAACCTTTAAGTTGCCGACTCGTCGCCCGACCTGTGTGGTACCGTAGTGTCGTGAATTTAAGCATAAGTGTGTGTAAGTAAGGGATGATGATTGAACACAGAAGAGAAAGGAAAGATCGTGCGCGGTCCGTGGCCCTTTTAACAAACGGACCGCGCACGATCTTTTCTTTTTTTCTGGTTCTGGCATTCTCCTGGAAAACGGACAACTACCCACCGGAGCATCCGGCCGCGAGAATTCTCTTCCAGACAGCTGCTGAATTCGGCTTACCTATCAAGCTAGCGCGAAACGTCTGCCACAGTCGGGACCCAAACCCTTGGACCTCCCGGCCTCGGCGATATGTAAAAATACGAACCGTTGCGATTCGCGGGAGCTCAAGAAGGTACACACAACGACCACATAAAACAGTGCAACGCGGGGGCGTGGGGGGGGGGCGTGGTGGAATTGGGTAACGACGCGAAAACTCGGCAGCGAGGAGCTGCGACGCGCAGAGGCGGTGCAGGCGCCGCGGGGTCGTCGGGTCGCGTCGTCGGGGGCAGCGGTCGAGAGCGAGGGGCTTGCGCCTGTCAATACTGCACGAAGTCCCGGGTTCGCACTGCGGTTCCAGCTCGTTGGGGGCGCCGCTATGAGACGAAACTTCTGTGTACAATATGCAGAACTGCAGAACTGCCTTTCAGCAATGTAATTTTTTTACAAGAGTTTGGTGTGACAGACATGGGTATGTGTACATTCGGAAATGAAACAATTTCCACTATCATTCATTTATTTACACCGTATAACCTCTCTTGTACACAAGAACTAAACTAGAACTAAAACGCTCGACACTCAATAAAGTAAACAAACAAATCATAAAATAAAATCAATATTTTCTGTCGTGAAGTGAA